AGTGGCTACCTTATTAGACATTGATGGTCTAGAACTCCATCATTTCAGAGCTCTCTGGGCTTAGGCTTTTATTTCAGTTCTTTCCTTGGAGTGTCATGTGGAAAGAATAGGGGATTGTTCTTCCCAAAGACCTCATCTTAGTTTTACTGCAACCTCTCTGTTTTTATAAAATATTTTCTGTTTAAAACAGATGGTTATTTTTGTGTGCAGGTTCACAAGATGACCAATAAAACATCATTTTGGTTATTTGTTCTTATTGCTTTATTGGCCGCTGTTCACATGACCACCTTTTGTAAAAGCCAACATTTTATTGCAGTCTGATATACATACACAAAAGGGCATAAATTGTGAGTGTATATAGCTCAATGAATTTTTGCAAAGTGAACACACCCATTGCTTGTATTCAAGAAACAGAACATTACCAGTACCCCAGAAGCTCCTGCCTTGTGCCACCTTCTGATCACTACCCCCAAAGCAGAACCCGAATTATAACACCATAGATTAGTTTTATCTGTTTGTGAACTTAATATAAATGGAATAATAAGTATATACTTTTGTGTGGCTTCTTTTGCTTAAAATTATGTTTGACAGCTTCACTCATACTGTTGATTGTAGCTATAGTTCTCTCATTCTCATTGATGTGTAGCATTCAATTGTGTGAATATACCACAATTTATTTGTCCATTTTACTGTTGGTGGACATGTGTGTAGTTTTTCATTTTTGGATAATTAGTTATGAACACTTTTGTAATGTCTTTTGGCAACTGTTCACATTTTTAATGTATAACAGAGTGGAAATACTGTGCCTTAATATAGGCATACGTCACTTTAAGTAGATAACTACCAAACAGTTTTCCAAAATGGTGTACCGCTTTACACTCCACTGAAGCTATGAGTTTTAGTTGTTCCATGACCTCACCAACATTTGGTATTTGGGTTTTTTTTTGGGGGGGGGTGGTTGTTGTAGTTACAAGGACGTTTTTCTGTTCTAATCAGGTCTTAAGCATAAATGTATGGTATCTCGTTGTGGTTCTAATTTGCATTTCCCTGATGATAATTAAAATTGAACACTTTTTCTCATGTTTGTTCGTCTTTGGGTATCTTTATTTATGAAGTTCCTGTTAAGTCTCTTGCCCATTTCTCTGTTGTATTATCTGATTTTTTTCCTTATTGATTTGTAGGAATTCTTTATATATTCTAGATAAAAGTCCTTTGTTATATATGTGTATTATAGATATCATCTTTTGCTCTATAGCTTGCCTTTTTACTCTCTTAACTATGTCTTCTGATAAGTTATTAATTTTAAAGTAGTCGAATTTAACAAAAAATTTTCATTTATGTTTAGTGCTTCTTTGTGTCCTGCTAGAAAAATCTTTGCCTGCCTCCAAGGTTTTAAGTTTATTTTGCTGTTTTCTTCCAAACGTGTTTTGTTTTATCTTTCATATTAGCTCTCCAATCCATCTGTAATTAATATTTGTGTATGGTGTGAGATAGAAGGTTAAGATTGCTTATTTTCCATATGGATATCCAATTAACACTGCAGTGCTGTGTCACCTCTATTATAAATTTGTGACTTCCATGTGTGAGTCTGTTCTGGGCTCACTCTTCTGTTCCATTACAACTTTTATTTTTTAAGGAAAGTGGTATTTGTGTGGGAAGTTTTTGAGATGAAGGAATTCTAGAGTTAAGAGGAATTACTTTGTTCAACGTAACCTAGGAAGCAGTATTAGGGCATTTACCCTTTAACTAGAAGAATATTATCAGTAATAGAGCCAAGCTTAGGTATCACAACCTCTTAATTTCAAACATACAGAGGGTTGTTTATCTCTAAATTGTTTTGATTATACCTGCTAATTAATAAATGATGTTTGAAAATATATAATTATAGATATAGAGATTCTATAACGTATACTGTATATAGATATATAATAAATTATATAAATATATAGATATATAATATAAATTATCTGTACCTATATATAGATTTTATAATGTATACTATATATAAATATATATTGTAAATTCTACGTATCTATATATAGTACACATTTATTACTGTGCCAATATGTTATTTTCATTATAACACACATACAAAATTGGAATTAAAAAGGAAATCATAAGGAAGAAATAGAAATTTTAATACTTTCTTCTTACACCCCTGTGTCAGCCAACGTGGGCTGGATTATGTGTACTAACAACCCTCGAATTTCAGTGGCTTAAAACAACATGAGTTTATTTCTCTCATGCTACACGTCCATTATGGTTTGGCTGTAACACTCCTCTGCATTGTTCTTACTCTGGCACCCAGGCTGATGGAGCAGCCACTTTCTGGAAGCTTGCTAGTCCCAGGGACAGAGGGAAACATAATGGGGAATTAGCACTTAAAGCTTCTGCCTAGATGTGACACATGTCACTTCAGCCCACATTTCATTGTCCAGAGCAAGTTACGTGTCCTCACCTAATTGCAAAGAAGAAAAATGCTAACCTTGTGCCCAGGAAAAAAATCCTATGCAGAGAACTGTGCAGGAGGAGACCTAGAGTATTTTAGACAGTACTAAAAACTATCACCTCTGAAATGACTGATTTCAGAGCACACAGCCCTGGATTTGTGTTTGTCTAAGAAAATAAACACGCAAAGACAAGTCCTTTTAGTTTTTCCATTCCATGTTGTTTTTAAAACCCTACAGTCCTGAGAAATGAGTCTCCTACAACTATAGGCACAGTGGTCTCTCTTGCTTAAAACCCTTCAGTGGTGTCTCTGTACTCATACAACCCAGACACTAAACGGCCTGCAAGCCTACATTTCAGGCCTCATCTCGTACCACTCACCCCATACCTAAACTATACTGCATTTCAGTTCCTTGAAGGAGACAGGAGACATGCTCCTACTTCTGTCTTGAGTGTGTTTCCTCCCTTTCTCCTTGTTTTTACCTGCTTTAACTGTTAGATCAGACATTTCCTGCAGGAAGTCCTCTGTGACTCCAGGGTAGATAGAGTCCTCTCTTTTCTACAGTCTCATAATACTCTGTACTTTGCTTCTAGAGAAGCTGTTCCAGTTTATAAAATACATTTTTGCACTAAGTTTTCAATCTGTTTCTCCAATTAGTGTGCAAGCTCCAAGTCTGTTTTGCTCACCACTATATGCTACACCTTGTGTTTAGCCTAGTTACTGGCATATAATAGGATGTCATTAAAGACTGAGTTTGGTTATAGTCTTATGTCTGTGACATTTATGTAGTCTATATAGAGAATGTCTGAGACATTTATATAGTCCATAGTGAACGATTTAATAATAAGTTAATCACAAACAAACTTCAAATACACTCTTGCTCCATGCCTCTATATCTTGGGAAGTCTAAGAGATTCCAGAGAAGGAATACTTTTCCCATTCTCTCTGGATTAGAATATACCCTCACTTAAAGTTTCACGTTGTGTTTCTCCTTTTCCCACTTCTAGAGTGATATTTTTACATTAAAGCTGAAAGCCTTACAGTTAGGGGGTATATCACATTTAACATAAATGGCAGTAAAACTACCCAAGTAATGAGTGTATTATATAGACATAGTGAATAAAATAAGCTGTGTGGTATTTAGCTAGGTTTTCCTCTAACTTTCTGAAGATGGTGCTGAATTACCAAAATACAGTGTGATTTATTTTTTGTGATACTTTGCATCAGCAAAAGGGCACATGATATTTGGAAAATGCTTACCTACAAACTCATGTCCCTCACTATTTGTCTTCATTTACATGTGTTGTAGAAAACCTTAGTCTTTCCTGTTTCTCTTTTCAGAAAGAATAACAAATTTGATCACCTTCTTATTTATATGTTTCATTGTGGACTATCGGTTCTCTTCTGCATTTAAAATGCAAATGTTCTAATAGAGATATCTCCCATAATGATAATCTTATTGGTGGGATTGATAGGATGATACAGACATTGTTATCTCTAAGCCTCTGATAGTTGTTTTCCCCATTTTTATTCTAGAAGAGAACCACGGCTTCCTATCAATAAAAAGTAAGATTAAAAGGATCATGAATAAGGATTATATTTGCAGAACCTGTCTATTTTATTCAACAAATGTTTATGAAGTATCTAGTTTGTGCCAGAAGTTGGGGAAACTCAGAAAGAAATGGACACTTTGTATATAGCTTTAAATTTTTGCTTTGAACAATAACATTTTGATAAGAGCTGAGTTTCAGTATTTTGCTGGCTGTGTCACTTTTCTCACCTATAGAAAGGAGATGATAAAAACCCATCTCATAAAGTTCTGTGAGGAGTAAATAAGATAGTGCATATAAAGCACTTATCCCAGTGCCTGACATAGAATAAGCGCTCAGTATGTGTTAGCTGTTATTTACTGTGAGGCTTTGTCCACAGTTAGCTTCTTAACTATTTCTTTTCCTGTGCTTCTTCCTGCTATTTTTCCCATGTTGCCCTCAGAAGTGAATTTCTAAAACGTACATCTTATTGTGTATCACTGCTGCTTTGGTACCATCTCTGTTGTCTCAAGAAGAAAGTCTCAAATACAGGAATGGCATCTGGCACCTTACCATCTGACCCTGACCTTTCTTACCAAACTAGCTTCTGCCTTGGCAGCTTACTGGGTTGCAGCCCAAAAAGGCCACACAAGTTGTAGTCCGCTGCCTTGGCTTATGCTCTTTCTTCTGCCTAGAATTCCTGCTGTAGGCCTCAACCCCTCTTCTCACACTCAACCTGAAGAAGCGATTCTCTATGGGCAACTCAGAGGTCCCTCTCATTCTTCCCAAACAGAATTTTTTGATCCCTGTCATTTATAATTCTTGAGCATTTATCTCATTATTAGAGTTAATGACATGTGTCTTGCTCTCCCACCAGCTTGAGTTCCTTGAGAGCAGAGACCATAACTTATTCATTATTGTATCACTGGAACCTAGTAGGCATGCAGTAAAAACTTGTTGAAATAATGGATTGAAACTTGGTTTAATTTTGTTTTGATTTCAGTGTGTCTTTATTATTCTAGGTTCTGGGCCTTGTCCAAAATATGAGTGTTTTCCAGTGTCCAAAATGTAAACACAAAACTCATATTTTTGGTGCTGATGGTGCAAGGAGACTAGCACGGACCCTTGATCTTGATATTCTAGGTAAGACCACAGGATATTCTTTTGCAAAGAAAATGGCATGGTGATGAAGAATGTCTCAGAAAAGGATGAATTGCTTTTGGCTTTGTGTTTTAAATTTTTAGTATAGCACAGTTCTGTGTGTTAACCTTTCTTTGGCTTTTTGTGATACTTCATTAGTGGAAGGCTTTTTGAATAGGGGGTTTGTTCTGCCAATTATGATAACTCTTTCTATAGATAAAAACTGCCTATAACTTGAATTTGAGAGGAGAGTTTTGTGGTTTGAGTATTGTGATTTGAAGCCCACATTTTAAATAATGATCCTCAGTTTGTTTGCTACGTTGGGAAGACAGCTCTCAGTGTAAGCAGATATATATACAGAAATACCTGTTCTGTATGTTGTAGCAACCTTTGGAAGTGTCAGTTCTTGGTGTGTATGAAGAAATGCCATCCTGATCAGTTCTGAATTTATTAGTCCTTTTGCTGTAGAAAACAGTATTTTCTGTTTTCTGTAATCTTCTTATATGTAACCTTTTTATTCTGTAATCTTTTTATGCCATGTCTATAAAATATGCCCCTTGAAATTTACACTGTCTATACAGTTCATGTTACTGAATTGAAGGATTCATTAGTGTTTTGAGAAGTAAAATCATGTGTTAAAGGAGCAAAGCACAGATTTTGGATAAAGCATGATTTTTAACAAATCCAAAAGCAACTTAATGGACTTTTTAGGAAACATGTTTTGATATTCTACTTATGAGTTGTTGTTTTTATTTTTTCCTTAATTAGTTAATTAATTATTTATTTAATTTTTGGCTGTGTTGGGTCTTCGTTGCTGCCTGCGGGCTTTCTGTAGTTGCAGGGAGCGGGGACTACTCTTCATTGTGGTGCATGGACTTCTCATTGCGGTGGCTTCTCTTGTTGCAGAGCACGGGCTGTAGGCGCCTGGGCTTCAGTAGTTGTGGTGCACAGGCTTAGCTGCTCCATGGCATGTGGGATCTTCCTGGACCAGGGCTCGAACCCGTGTCCCCTGCATTGGCAGGTGGATTCTTAACCACTGTGCCACCAGGGAAGTCCCTACTTACGAGTTTCTGTTCTGAGCAAAGGCAGGTGTTAGATGCTAAATAAGGGAGGCATAGAGTGAATTATTAGTTTAGGGTAGTTAACAATTAAGATCCCTTAAAGATCAAAGAGTTTCAAAACATTCTTTATTATAATTAAGTTTCTAAAAGTTGATGTTAAATGTATTATTGTTTTTATGCATTTGTACTAAAGCAGCTACCACAGTACCAGGTGAATACTAATGATATATTTTGATACATTGTTATAATAGCTACTAATTATATTCTGCAACAGTTTTTCATTTAACCTAGGAAGTTCAATTTCCCAAATCTGCATAATAACATAACAGATTGACATTCACTTATATAATAAAGTAAATGTGTAATTATAATGACGTTATTGAATTATGCTGACAGTATTATAATTCCCTAATTCATGAATGGGTGGTATGATTTTGTAAGTCAGTTATTTAGAATTTGAAACGTGTCTCCTAGAGAAACAGTTTCACATACGGAAGATACATTTTAACCAACAGCTCACAAGTGTAATGAGAAAATCAGAAACACTGATTAGTGATCACAGAAAGTGGGTAATGCTATAGACTGCTGTATCTCAAAGTGTTATGGGAAAAATAATTTAGAGTTCTAATGTGGAACACATCTCCTCCTTTTAATGTCATGGGACCCAGAGGGATGTCCCATGAACTGGAGCAGGGGCTCTGATGATGAAGAGGTTGGAATTGGGAATGAGGAACTGAAATCAGGGAAAGAGCTCTCACAGCCATGGCCTCCTGGATGGGTGAAACCCCCAGGACCCTTTACTGACTCTCTGGCTGCCTCTTATTTTCATCCATGGGGCTGTGTTTCAAATGATTATTTCGTAAAATGGCTCTTCAGAACTTTATCCATATTCACCTACAGGGGCAGTTTGTACATAGTAGTTAAAGCTCTCAGATCATGCCACAGAAACCCCTTTAACTTATGTCTCTGAAATGTGCTTCCTTCAGCCCTAAGCCCTCAAAAATACTTTTCAAGGCCAGGCCGAACCTTACCCACTCTCATTACCTTTACTCCTTTTTCTCCTTCTCCATATACGATTGTTAGCCTATTACTGCTCTCACTGTGCCACTGTTTTCTAATAAGGTTTTCCTCTTTCTTGTTCTACCCTTCTGCGGATTGTGAGTCTCTGGAGGGCAGAAGTGATGTCACTAGGTGGCTATAAAACGGAGAAGGTTTTACTTTTTTTTCTTTCATTACTGTAGTAGAAATGAAAGCATTCAGTATTCTTTACTATATAATGGCAGTTCATAAATCAAGAGAAAAAACTTTGCAGGTTTCTAAGTATTTTCTGTAATATCTTCTCCTGCCTGCCCCTGTGATAGCTTCCTACAGTCTAAAGTTGATGTATAGAATAGACATCAAATTTACTGAAAAGCTGGTCTTTAAATGGTTACTGAAGTATTCATGTATTTTGTCTATTGAACTTTTAGGAAAGAGTTAAACAGTTGGTTAAGATCTCAAAATTTGCTGGTAGGAGGAGCATGAAATATCTGTTCCTCCATGTAGCTCATAATATAAATTGTAGTAGGTTTGTAATTTTGTAACACATTCTTCTGCATTATTTCTGTTGCCTGGCATGGTGCTGAATGAATTCTTTATATAAAACACACACACACACGCACACACACACGTTTCAATAACCTTTGGGTGGACTTGGAGTAAGTGTAAGAATGCTGAGTACCATGACAAGTCAACTCTTCTACTCCTTTTATTGCAATTTTTTTTTTTTTTTGCGGTACGCATGCCTCTCACTGTTGTGGCCTCTCCCATTTTGGAGCACAGGCTCTGGACGTGCAGGCTCAGCGGCCATGGCTCACGGGCCTAGCCGCTCCACGGCATGTGGGATCTTCCCAGACCGGGGCACGAACCTGTGTCCCCTTCATTGGCAGGCGGACTCTCAACCACTGCGCCACCAGGGAAGCCCTACTGCATTTTTAATGTCAGCCTTTTGAAAGGCTTCATTTGTGATGGTGCGGTAGAAAGAGTCAATTGGATGATGGATCAGAGCATTTTTCCTCTAAATCCTACTACCTAATATATCCTCAGGGAAGACACATACCCTCTCTGACCTCAAGTCTGTATATTGGGGGTTCTTATATATTTTCTGAGAGCTCATCAAGCTCACAAGTTGTATATAATGCTACATAGATTAATACATAGTAAAAGAAAAATAATTCTCTCTGATAAAGAGGCAGACAGTTGAAATAACAGGTCTGGCCTAATTTTCAGCAGTTCTGTTAGCTCAGTCATCTGCCATCAGGAAGATTATTTTGTTGGCTTTTTTTAAACTACTTTGCCACCCCATCTTTTCCTCTTCAGTTTCCTCTTATTATGTGGCAAAATATGTCTATATCAGTTATTACAGGGAGAAAAATTTACAGATGTCTTCCAGGCCATTTGTTGCTGAAGGACTTCCAGCAAAGAATAAATCAGAGGCCTTACTCTATGATTGGCTGCCACACTGCTTTCATATATACATATGTGATCATGGAACTGCCCTCAAATGGAATATTTTGCCCCTAATTTTCATTTGAAATTTGTTTTTCAGAGATTTAGCGATTTGAGGATAGTCATAACTCAAGTTGATTTGAGTTGATTTGTTTCTTTCTGCAATTCAAAGAATTAAATTCTAAAAGCCAATATAAACTTTTGCGGTACTAATGGATATCTGGTGGGCTCTTTTAGGAGACATTCCCTTACATCTTAATATACGGGAAGCTTCAGATACAGGCCAGCCGATTGTGTTTTCACAGCCTGAAAGTGATGAGGTAAGTTATATTTCTAAATATGTATTTTAATTTCTTTTCACAGGATATATACTTTTTGATGTATAGAAAGAAAGTTGGGGAGATCAAGTTTGTCTATTTGGAATATATATGTTAAACAAAGATTAGTTAACTTATCCAAAGTATCTTTAAGTTACTATTTTATATGGTAGACATACCAGTGCTGACTCTGAATTATCAACTGGACACGTTCACCTACAAAGAATTGTCACCCAACCAGTTTTTTCATGAAGAACACGAACAGTAAGAGCTTGTAGAGTTCTTATGTTGCTGGCTAGCAGTATCTAACTGCCCGAGGTTATTATATTTCAGTATTAGAAGTTCATCTGATTGTTGGGAGAAGGAAACCTAATACAAGAAAATATTGAGTCGGATATAGGGAAACTGTATAAACCTTTAGAGACGGGATTTTCATTGCATTTATTTTAATAAATAAGATTGAGGAGCTGAGGTGGGAAAACTAGTAGTGTTTCATTAGCTAATATCATTGGGGATACAGTTGATAGATTTTCAAAGATTGCTGAAGCTTAATGCCTTTAAGCATAAATTCTTTAATTTTACTCCTTTTTAAAATAGAAATAAAATCATCCATATATATCTCTTCTTTCCTAAGTAGCACTTGCTATTTAAGTTTGAAAGTGAGCCATCATCTGGTACATCAGTTTTGATGTCGTTTTTGTGCTCCTTTGCCAAGCAGCCCCAATCAGTCTTCTAGCAGTTTCTTTTTTTCCCTTATGTAATGAGTATAACTTTATAGTACCATTATTTTGTCTGTCCATAACTACTACCCCTTTTATTCTAGTTTGCTTCCTCTAATCCCATGTGAACTGGAAAATAAAAGAGCCAAGCTTGGTTAGAGCTGTGAATAAAGTAAGGGCAAAACTGACAGTCAGGAGCCTCAGACTGGTAAAGTAGATTCATTCTGAATTATCTCTTTTAGGTGCCCAGAGCTCCTTTCTCTTTCTTAAGGGTTGTCAGTTATGATATAGGTGATTGAGTTGCTGGGAATATGACCTCTGAGTAAATGCAATGTAGTACTTATCATTGTTTTTCTTTTCTCTGCCTTTTAGGTAATAAACATTAAATTTCCTTTTCAGTCTTTTCTTAGAAATCTTTTGGATAAGCAAAACCCATAACCTTTTATTGCTTTCATAGTTGAAGTCTGGCAATCCCAACTACCATAGGTGTACTTTATGCAGTGAATGAAAAGTTGTATGAAAATTGAGGGTTTTTAAATTACACACTTTTAAATGCTTCCTGAGAACAGACAATTTAAAGACATTCTGTGGTGAATACAAATAATTACCTACTAGTTTAATTCAATTATGAACTTACATTTTTAAATATTTTCCCACCTGTCCATTATTGCTTTTTTCTTTGAGATTCTCCAAAAGCAAGAAACATTTCAAAAAGTTAAAGGAATGTAATATAACAGAGAACATATAGCAACCATCAAAAGGTAATATGATTTAAAACTCTAAACAACAGTGTTTGTAGAGTTTGTTGGAGTTACATGTTTTTAAAATCTCATTTACATTTACGTAAACATTAGACCTATTATTTTACTGTTGCTGGGTGACATTTATGGGAATGTGAGCAAGCTGCCTCTTTGGGGTTTAAGTTAGATTTGATTTGGTGAGGTCTCTGCTAAAGTAGTGAGAATTTCATGCACCACATTGTCAGCCTTACATGTGAAGACTTCTGCCTTATATATGAAGACTTCTGAGCAATTTTAAGATTTAGACATGTCCATGAAAAGGAAAAAAAATGGAGCCTTGTATTTAATTTGTTTTCATGGAAGTTATTGCTTCCTACTCTTAGATTGCAGACATTCATTATTATTAACCACTTTCCTAATAATAATAGCAGTTAGAGTATGCTAGACACTGTTAGACATTTATATACTTTCTATGCTCACAAGAACTTAATGTAATATATAAATAGTCCGCATTTTGCAGGTGAGGAAACCGAGGCTCATAGAAGCTAAATAGGTGTCCCAAGGTCACAGAACTAATAAATGGCAAGATGTGATTAAAAGGCAAGTCTGTTCCTTCCAAATATTGTCCTCTTTCCATTGTATCACCTTCTGGGTCCTCTACTAATAGCTATGATTTCCTCAATTCCTTCTAAGACGTGAGTACAGTACTTGAGTGTATTAAATACAATATATTATTTGATTCTCATAGCACATTTGTGAGATATGTATGATAATCTCCATTTTTCAGATGAAGAAGCGAGATTCATTTATAGTAAGGAATTTGTCTAAGGTAGTACTAGAGGCTATTTCCACACTCAGCTCTGAAACCATAGCCCATGTATCCTCTTCCTGGTGCAGTATCTGCTTCCCTTCCTAGTTAATTGCAAGATTACTTCAGTGTCTCTCTATTGTGTATATGTAGGCTAGCTTTCAGTTCACCTCCTTTTCATATCACAGAGATCTAGAGAAGAGGGTGGGCACACTCTGCCCCTCAGGTCCCACTGGTGTGCACAACCACAGGGCATAATACAGAGAGGATCCTAACCTGGGTCTGAGAATCCCATGAAGTTATATCCAGAATGTATGAGTGTGCATTTTTCTGGGGAATTGAGCAAGGGCTCTATTAGATTCTCAAAGAGGTCTCTGCATGAAAGGAAAAGCATTAATCTGTATTAGCCTGGGGTTTCATTTAAGAAGAATGCCACTTTCTAAGTGTGACCTTAGGCAAGTTCCCTCATGTCTCTGAACCTTTCTCTCCATCTGTAAATTGTTATCATAATGAGAAGGATTAAATGAGATGATAATGTGAAAATACTTTGAAAAATGCCAAGTAGAATACAACTATGAGTATTTATGTCTTCTGAAATGTTCTGTATAAGATGCTATAGCAATAAATGTCTTTCTCCTGCCCTTTATCAAGGGATTGAGTCCATTTTTGCCCTTCCCCTTACGTAGCTTCAAGTAAATGTCACTCTTTGGTGGCATCTAAAAATCAGAGCAGAATTTGAATCAGGAGATATGGGTAGAGTTCTCAGCTCAGCATTAAAGATTTAGATATTAGCATTAAAGTCCTAGATATTAGGAAGCTGTTGCTGAGTCCTGGAATCAGGATCCTTCTGGTTATTCTTATGGTGAATCTTACATCCTGATAATCCCCTTCCCTTTTGCCCTATGAACTTAAATGGAAATATGCTCTCAGAAGCTGGTCACAGCCCTCTGAACAAATTCTACCATATGCATGGAAGCTTAGTGCCCATTCTACCTGCATGTCTTCATTTAAAGAATGAAGGAAGTGTTTACTTGCCAACGTGATAAACTTCTGCAAAAGTTAATGGGACGGAATATGCAAAAGTATTTGTTAATAGTTAGCCCGTTAGATTGATACTTTTTATTGTTTGCTTTTAGGGGTTTACTACAGGCAAATTTATTAACAAGTAAAAGTTTCATCTTTAGCTTTCTGTCTTCTTTCTAATTCTACCTTCTCTTCTCCATCTTCCATCACTCCCTCCTCTCAGCACCAGGTTCCAGGGCTCTCATTCTCTGCCCATAAAATCTTTTAAAATTAGGCATTAGGGATTTAACTCTCCCAGTAATATTTAACTTTCAGAAGAGACAAACACTAAGAACACAGTGATTAATCGAAAGGTATGAAATGTGCTGACTTTGAGGCATAATTGGAAAAGTTGGGAAGGGTTACAGTACCAATTAAAAAGCTCCATCAGGGCTTCCCTGGTGGCTCAGTGGTTGAGAGTCCGCCTGCCGATGCAGGGGACACGGGTTCGTGCCCCGGTCCGGGAAGATGCCACATGCCGCGGAGCGGCTGGGCCCGTGAGCCATGGCCGCTGAGCCTGCGCGTCCGGAGCCTGTGCTCCGCAACGGGAGAGGCCACAACAGTGAGAGGCTCACGTACCGCAAAAAAAAATAAAAATAAAAAGCTCCATCAGGCTTCTGCCTACTCAGCCAAAGGTCAGAACCTTCTGCATATGTGCACCACTGAGGAAAGGGGAGTAATTGAAACTCCAAATATTAGTAGTGTAAAATAGCCAGAGAAAGCAATAGAGGAAGGGAGAGAAAGTGGACACTTTAGGATTCAGAACTCTTAAATTCAATAGCATTTCCTCTTGTTTGTGTAATTATAATTGTTCATTCAACTATATCTACCTTTTGCCTTTGATTGAGTCCGGGACACAGTGATGGACTCATGATTGACTATTAATTTTGTGGTTTCATTCTTTTTGTCAAGTAAAAATCTTAATATTGATGTGTTAAAAAGTGTGCTATAAGATATTCCTGGTAAAGACTTTTAAATGTAAATAGAAACTTTATTATCTTATAATTTCTACATTATTACCTCATAGTCCTAATATGAAATGACTGTGAATGGAAAATTAGAACTTCAAATATTTAAAAACAAAGACAAAGGGAAAAGCTCACCATAAAACTTCTGCACTTTGGTTGCCATCCAGTTCCTTTACTTGATAATGACAGAGCAGACAAATAAGATCTAGCTGTATTATCTGTGTCTCTAGATGGCCCAATGAAAGATCTTGAATAGGAGAGAAGGGTTAGTTCATGTAGAGTTGAGTTGATGATAAAGAGAGTATTAATAGTCTGAGAAATCTAAATCATAGTTTTTACATATGACATGTATATGTTTGCTTTTCCTAGTTGTGGATTAAACAGAAGGAAGGGATTTAATTTACTTATTCCTCAGGCAGAAAAAGTGTCCAAAAGGATATGTTAATATGAGCTCTTCAATGAGATTGTAAATTACTTGAGGACATAATAGTAATAATAGTAACCACTAGTATTTATTATTTGCTTCTTATATTCCAGTACTTCACATAGTTTATTCTTACTTAATATGCCCCCAAGCCCTTTGAGGTAGATACTATTATTATAACCATTTTACACGTATGGGAACTGAGCCTAGAAGGGTTAATTAACTTGCCCAGGGCCAGTGTTAATAAGTAATGGAACCAGGATTTTAAACCATACCTATCTGATCTCAAGGCCCCACCTCTTCACCAGTGAGCACTTCTGCCTCCCTTTTTTATTGTTACCTCCCACAGATTTCCCGAAACGATGCATTGCACACAATAAGAACCAAAAAGTATTTGTTGAAATGATATTGCACTGGTTGAAAAAATTCAATCTCAACAGTTTTGTGGAAATTGAAACTGTTAAACTAAGCACTTTTAGTGGTTTCTCAGCAAATAAAAATCTAACCATTGCTTTGAGTGTGATATATTGAAAGTTTAAGCTTAGAGATAGTCCATTAAAAAGCAAAGGTTAAATGTAGCAAAGTTGATTATTATGGAATCATTCAGTATTTTGTGCAGTCAGATAGGTTTATGTCTCTAATTTAACATAAGTTAGAACTAAGATTATAGAATGATATGGCCTCAGCTTGCCTTAGTGAGCTTTAAATTTTCATTGTAAAATATTAGGCTTTAAACACCTAGAAAAGCTACTGGGAGATAAAAGGTATTTATAAAGATGCATGTGTTAGCATACAGTATTTGTTTTTCTCTTTCTGACTTACTTCACTCTGTATGACAGACTCTAGATCCATCCACCTCACTACAAATAACTCAATTTCATTTCTTTTTATGGCCAAGTAATCTTCCATTGTATATATGTGCCACATCTTCTTTATCCATTCATCTGTCGATGGTCACTTAGGTTGCTTCCATGTCCTGGCTATTGTAAATAGAGCTGCAATGAACACTGTGGTACATGACTCATTTTGAATTGTGGTTTTCTCAGGGTATATGCCCAGTAGTGGGATTGCTGGGTCATATGGTAGTTCTATTTGTAGTTTTTTAAGGAACCTCCATACTGTTCTCCATAGTGGCTGTACCAAATCACATTCCCACCAACAGCGCAGGAGGGTTCCCTTTTTTCCATACCCTCTCCAGCATTTATTCCTTGTAGGTTCTGATGAACCTAGGGGCAGGACAGGAATAAAGATGCAGGCATACAGAATGCACTTGAGGACACGGAGAAGGGGAAGGGGAAGGCTGGGACGAAGTGAGAGAGTAGCATTGACATATATACACTACCAAATGTAAAACAGATAGCTAGTGGGAAGCAGCCACATAGCAGAGAGATCAGCTCGGTGCTTTGTGACCACCTAGAGGGGTGGGATAGGGAGAGTGGGAAGGAGATGCAAGAGGGAGAAGATATGGGCATATATGTATATGTATAGCTGATTCACTTTGTTATAA